TGTGGTGGATTGCTTGGTAGTTATCAATCGTTTGTTTGGGACTTCCTTTATGCCGAGGCATAATAAATAACCTTTTCCATTGCTCTGGAAAGTGGCCGGATTCCATCGATAGAGTGAACTTGCTCATCAGTAGCAATGGTATATCAGGTCCTCCTAGTTTAATGGTGGTTGGTGACATACCATCAAATGCATCTTGGAAGATGGCCTGATTAATTTGACAACTTGATGGATAGCGTTGAGTGAAATATCGACCCTGCTTAAGAGGTCTGTTTCGGTGAGCACTGTGCAATCAGGCATCGGGTCAGCTTCGCTACCCATGGTAGTGGCAAAGAGCCGCTGAGTGCTTCACAGTTTTTATCTGGGTCATGGAGTAAGTGACCCTCATCATCAAAAATTTCGGTAATTAAAGGAGAGCAGTCACTTGTTCTACGATGCAGTATTTTGACAACCTCCCTAGCTTTGTAGCTTGTTCGTAGGGCTATATGTTCTTCATTTTTTCGTCGTGTTAATTGCGCGTGTTTGACTCTGATGGTCAATTCATGCCTATGTACGACAAGCGAAAAGTCCAGGGTCCTTGTGTATCTTGCAGCTAACTTTCTAGTTTTCTTGCTGATTAAGTGCTCGACGGAATCTTTGGAGACATGAGTGATATGAATACACTGTTGAGCAAGGAGGTCTACAGCGTGATGGATTTGTTTATAGAACTGCTCCACAGCGGTGTACACACGGGTAGAGAGGAAAAGTACATCCCAGTCGGAGAAACGAATGAAATGCTGAAAGCATTTCGACTTTATCTTATGGGTTGCAATTGGCATTGTAGAGGCGAGTTTAGTGACCATTTTAATTTGGAAGTTGAGTCGGATCATTTTATGGTCGCTGCTAGGGAGATTGTTTAAGATCTGGGTCTCTTGATTTGGTATCCCAATGTGAATGTTAAGTCCAGTACATTGGCGGACCCGGTTGGACTGCTAATCCATTGTGTCCAGCCCCCAGCTCTGATGGAAGAAAGAAAAGGGGCGTGCAAGTTGAACTTTGGAGGGGATGACCAGCGTATTTTCGATAGGTTGAAATTGCCGGCATTACTCTTCTGGCTGTGTGGCAACGCTAATGCCAAGTCAAATGCATAAGTGATGTTGGTGATACGTTAGACGCATTCGGTGGGTCTTAGATACATGCGAGCAGTGTGTAAGATGAAACACCCGCAAGTGACAGCCAAATAGATTATGGGATATTTTCCAATGTTGTGTGGTCTATAGGTTTAGCTGTAAATGTTTTGAGTAGGTACATAATACACCCTCTACTTTTTCTGTCGTAGCGATATTTTCGAAATAGGTGGTAGTTTGAAATCATCAGAGTAGAGTCAAGTGTATCTGAAGAACACCATGTTTCGGTGACAAGGAATCACTTGTGGGTCATTGAACTGTGCAAGTATGTTTATAACATGAAGTTTGTTGATTATGGACCTGGCATGAATCAGAACCATTGAAAATGTGCCAAATATTGGGAATGATCGCTGTCCGTTGTGTGATCGTCTGAATCTTTGCGTTGTAGCATGGTGCACAAGGTAGGTAACTGCGAGTATGGTGTGCCCGAGTTAGTCATTAGAACGTTTGTTGATAAGGGCAGTATGTCATGTGTGGATATCGAGACCATTAGGGGCACGACGGGAATCCAGGCATCATGCTTAGGTTGCCGTTGGTTTGACAATTGACTAACTTTGTCATCTGGCCAAATTGGAGGAAGAGTGGGATCAAGATGTTGAGCTCCGCGGGATGTATCTGCCATGGGAATGGGTGCGAGTCCATTCCCATCGCCGCTATAAAGTGGTTGTTGGAAGAAGGCGCTTGAGAGGTTGAAGGAGCATGGAAAAGAGTGGGTGAAAACATAGTCCTACTGATCGACGTCGTTCCACCGTCTGTGCACTTCCAGTGATTGTTGTGGAGTGTAGGTTGATAATTAAGCGTAGCCAAAAAACAGTTGTTACTGGTCTTATTCAACATGAAAGATTGTTTGCCCTGGTGGTTGTAGGATGTTGGTCGATAGGGAATTTTGGGTGCGACCGAGTATTTAGTATCCATACGTCTTTTAAAGACACAGGTCCTTGGATTGGAGAAGTCGTCTTTGGCGACAGTGGACCATGAATTACATCAGGTTGTCTATTTTTGGACGTGTCTTGCTGATTTGGACCGTGTTGTAATATATTCAACGAGTTGTCATTACTCTACTGTTCCAAGCACTTAGACTTTTCTTTAATCCTTGTGCGTGTGGAGTTCGATGTAATGGGCGTGTTGTTGCAGGAATAGGGGAACCCGCTTTATCCGTTTCTTGTGTCGACGGTGTTTCAGGGGAGAAAGGAAGGACGGTTTTGGAGCTAGTTGACAACGTTGCTAGATTATCGGTGTCTAAATCAATGCATCTAGTATGCACCTTGGATGCACTCGTCTTTTGGACGTTTGACTATTTCTCGACAAACCTAGTTATTTTTTCTGGTGTTCGCGACACAGTGCTAAGTTCGGACCTTTGTAGGGGTGTACTATCTGGTTTACTTAAAATGCTGTTAAACTGGGTGCACCGGCGTAGAAAAGGTCCACAATGGAGGAATCGCTGTGCGACTTCCTCGCTCAAAAATTTGAAAATGATTGGACAACAATGTTTTGGTGTCTTCTTTTTTAAACGTTGGCATTTGCAGTCATCGTTAGACGTGTTACAAGCTTTCAGTATCGTTAGCTTTACTTTATCAAAACTCAGCCTGTCCGGAACATTAAATACAATCACACTTTTTGATCTACATATTCTTTCGCGCACTTCATAAACAACAGACGCAATTAACTGCCTCGCTTTTCCCATTAGAACAGGATCAGTCTTCTCCAATGGGTTATTGATGTAGTCAAGCGTGGTCAGGTGATATTTGAGGGGGTTCAAAGAGTGGCAGCGTTTTTCTCGTTTCATTAGATTGCGATTCTAAAGAAAGCAATTTATCATTTAACTCTGCGATGAGTATAGTTTTAGCCGAGGAACAGGTTCGTTTTTCTTTTGGGGCCTCGCATGTTATTCGCTTTGCTGATGACTTGGAAAGTACACTACACTTAGGTTGCCGAATGTGACGAGCCTTCAGTGGGGCCATTGCAATCTTAGTTTGTCAAGATTCAGACTCAAGCACCAACGTAATATATTTATGTACCAAAAACAAATCTTGTGTGATTTCTCGCAGTTGGAATTTGATAGGCGGTTAGATTCCACGGCTACGTTTGTCGATAATAGCCACCATTAAACGAACGTGTCCAGACATGCAACAAATCCAAGGTGACGGACACAGACGGTAGTTGGGCTAAACAGTGAGAACTCCGAAAGTAGCTAGAGAAACTCCACCAAATTTACACAGATTGAAGAATACACCAAAAGGAAGATGCTGGTGTACAATGCACACAGAAAAATCACGTATACCAGAGTAATCCGGAAGGAAAACTGGAATCCAGCATGGTAATCCAATAATCCGCGGCGTCCGTTGGTACATCGTATGCGTATATTTGGCGCACGTTTCATGGAATACTGACCAGCAGCTGCTTCAGAGTGCTCTAACCAAGGTACATAAGTGGTCAAACAAAAATTCACTGCAATTTAATGCGAGTAAATGTAAAGTGTTCACCATAAGGCACCAGAGAAACCACTATTACAGGGTTGGAACGCATGTGCTGCAGCGAGCTGCCACCGAAGGTGATTTGGGCGTACTGGTTCAGGATGACCTGTATTGTTCCAGGCAATCCGCGAAAGCCTCAAAACTGATAACCAACACTTGAGCTTCTTACAATGGGCGTTCGGACAAATAGATCGCTCTATTTTCCGGCAGCTACTTTGTGCATATGTTCGTTCTCATGTCGAGTATGCGATTCAAGCTTGGCAAGCATGAATAAAATATGACCTTAGTGTATTGGAGCAGCCACAACGTCGAGCATCAAAGTACGTTATTAGAATGCAACATCTTCCATAAGAGTAGAAGCTGGAACGATTTGGGGGTATTCAGCGGACATTACCACCGCTTACGAGGTGACTTGATAATGGCGTATTTAAGTTTGCACGATCCATACCATGTGTGCTGCTCTTTACTGCAACTCAACAACATTAGCAACTTGAGAGATCACTCACTAAAAAGGCAGAAAAGTACAGCCGCCTCGATTTGCACAGAATTTTCTTTTCCGTTCGCGTGTGTCACCCGTGAAATGCGCTTCCAGAATTGGTATTTCTGAACCATATTATCCATATTTAAAAGAGGTTTGGATGACTCAATTACTCATCTATGCATTGTTACCACGTATTACATCTCCATCCCACTCCTGGATTTATTCGCTGTGTCCGTGTTTGTGCTGTGTAACTACACCGATCGCAGGACTACAGCGAAACAAACGACAAGACTCGCTTATAGACGTAAATAAACCACTTTTTTAATTTTTGATAACCCTGCAGAACCACCAACGGGGCATGCAAAACTTTGCTTCTTAACCCGTATAAATTCGTCGTTCCTTTTTCGTGCATTCCAAATCATTCCTGCATGACAGCTTCCCACCACCACTCTGTATCGATACGTCGTAAACACGAATCGCTCGTTTTGACCCGTTTAACTGGTACCATTTCGCTCGCTAGTTTAGCTGGTCGATTGACCTATACTATAATATTAATGTTCAGCTGAGTCTGTACTTCAACCCGCGTACGACGGCATGCTTCCAAAGGACGCGCGGGCCGATAGCGGCGTCAGCATGTTACAACGACTAATGACTATTCACTGATGGTTAATCAATAGTGAATAGGTAGTTAGTTACATGTTTTGCTACAGATAACTTAGCTATTGAGCTTGTTTTGCGACTTGTTGGTGATCCGATTCACCTACTAGTATTTATCCCCGTAAAATGTCATTCTGTCCTTTTGGGGGTTATTCCTCTCAGGTTAAGAACCCCTGTTCTACATGCTAGTTTGTTGACCCTCTTCTCTCCTACACCTACCTGCAGACTTCATGAGCGAATTTGGCCTGGAGCATCCATGTTTCCTCAGCCAGTTGATTCGTTCCTCCGCTCTGATGATGCGTTGCTTCAAAGTGGTGCTTCTGCAGCATCTCCCGGTCGAAATGATTCTGAAGCAAAATCACGAACCCTTGCACAAAACATTAACCTCTATATCTTGGTTGCAAAAGCAGATCAACAAGCACAAGTTCTAAGGCCTCCGAGGAAACGAAACAGACATGCTAGAGTTCAAATGACAGTGGACACTGTTCACTTTCAGCAAACTCGCACGACGGACACTGGAGTGTACTATTGCTACTGGAATGGCAAACGTCTTAAAGAATGGGCAGTGACTATTGTGAAGGCTTATGAAGAACCCTTTAGACACATCTCCCTACCAACCTATTATGAGGAAAATATAGCATCATCTAATAGAATAGCTGCGATGGAAAACAACGGGTCTACCATCTATATATACCCAGGAGACGGTCAACCGGAAACTCTACGTCCGGCAACTTTGCTGGACTACAATCTGAGAGTGTACACTGAATGGGGATTATGGAGCGATTGCGTACCCTGCATCCAACTGGATGGGCCAAGTCAGTCTGAAATTGCTGCAGCAGGTACTCAGATGCGAGTGGGAACGTGTCGTGTTCGCATTGTGGACACTTTCCATTCCGTTCGGCCGCATCCACTGGCGATTCTTGTCGATGCAACAATGAGGACATACAATAGACGAGGTATTCCTTGCCGCTCTCACTTGATAAGTGAGGCTATGCTTCTCTATGGACCTGATACACTAAAGCAAAGGCCAAGTGAACTTCAGATGAGAGAATGTGCTGTAAAATGCCCCATTCTTCCCAAAAAGTAAGCTGATGTTATCTTCCAAGGTTTCTCGTTAGAAAAAGCCTGTGAACTATGTATATATATATATATATATATATATATATATATATATATATATATATTCAAAAGTCAAAATAGGTGGGAAACATTTTCAGCATTTTATATTTACAATGCAGATTTAATGAGATATAACACTGACATGAAATTGCAATCAAAGCGTAAAAAGTCGAAATTATACGTATACATCACTCAAGTAAACGTACGCTCGTGGTGCTGATTAGCATCTTATAGTCCAAAGAAAACTGGATAAATACATCAAGATAGAGAAACCATGTTGTGCGAGAAAACAAACCCCTAAATTTAGACCAAGTAGACGAACAGAACAGAGCTTTTGGTAAACCAGCTTTGAGGGAGTTAGAAGAGTCATCTGAAACCTTTAATGATAAGTGTCACATATACCAAAGTGCTTAATAACGATGAACGCGATCAGAGACTCTCTGAGGAATCCACTGCACCTGAAAATGAGCTTGATGGAACGCACAATCCCTGTGAAGTCTTTTAGTAAATCAGGAAGAGTGACAGGTTGATCAAGATAGATTATGAGACAAGCATACACCAAGATACTTAACAACGGATGAACTGGGTCTGTTGTGGTCGCTTAGCATCATGGAGTGGCGGTACGTTCGACCTTACTGTACGGTTGCGAAACCTAGCCTCTAAGATCGGCGGACATGAAGTGGCTAGTTACCTTCGACCAACGGTGCCTTTGCAGTTTGGCTCACATCTGGTGGGAACACTGCGTGAGTAACGAGCGTGTTGGACGCCTTGTTTACTGCACAGGAAAAGGAAATGAACCGCTCAGCACCGTCATTTCACGCCCCAGACTCCGATGGCTGGGCCACGTGTTGCGCATGCCTCCCATCGACTTCCACGACGTGTGTTGTTTGCTCACCGGGGATGTGGATGGAATAAGAGCAGGGGTGGCCAAGCGATGACTTGTTCCGGAGGAATGAAGGCCTTCCCTTCTGTGCTGGCCTCGGTTGGAGCGTCACGGCTCCCTGGTTGGGTTACAAAAGACGGTGAACACGTTTGGCTGGATACACCTGCTGACATGACAAGGAGCCGACCTCAGTGGCGTTCCTGCTGTGAGTTTCTTTGTCCCTCCCCATCCCTTTTAGCCTCCCTCTCCATCTACGATCTCATTTCTTAGCCTAGTAGCCGGCTGGTAGCTTACCGGAACGATGCCTATCCGTTGCTGGTAGCTCAGCTGGCATGCAACTTTTGTATTTATTTTCCTTTTTCATTTATGTATGGCGGCACCGTAGCTGAGGTGTTTCCCACCTCTAGCTGACGTGTATAATGAATGAATGATCATGTAGGGAGAAAGGGTCCTTAAAGTCAAACCTACATCAGTACAGAGATAAGAACAAGTTACATTGCGGCATTTTGAAGTGATGAAAATAAGGGATTAGAACTACGACCAGTACTGAATTTCATCCAACCCACTTTGTAGAGCAGTTGCTGATTCAGTGACTGGAGCAATGCTGCTTTGAACTACGTGGTCAGCGTACTTGCATCGAGTAACGTCTAGAGGAATTGAAAGCATTTTAATGCATAGAGATAATAGAATAGGAGAGAAGATTGTTTGTCGTAAGACGCTTCAGCCATCACGAAGTGTGGGGAGTTATTTTACCGTTTAGCTGGGTGAAAAGAGACCGATTTACGTGCTAGCTGCTCATCCAGCTGCACATCGTTGATTGCACAACATTCGCAGACAATTGCCTAAGTAGCATTAAGCTGTCGACACTTCAAACGGTTGGTATACTGAACGAAGATAAGCCGCAATATTGGGTTTTCCATTAAGTGAAGATGTTGTTGTGTGAATCAGATATGCTACGGTATGCAACGTGCAATCACGGGGTCTGTACACAAAGTAAGATGCGTCCACGGTCAAAGTGCTTTTTGAGGCTCAAGGCACAAATAGTCCTTGAAAAACTTTCAGCATAACGGACGTACAGGCGATCGGACAAAATTTCCTTTATCCCTCTTTGAAACCAACATTACCCTAATATCGAGATTAATTGCACCGTGTAGGTACCGATTAGAAAGATCTCTCAAGGTTATTGTAAGGTTCTCGGAACAGATTTCCAAGACAACTGATGAAAGAGAAGCGGGCTGAGTAGCTTTCCTTGCGTTCCAGTTCCTGAGTTCATGGTGGAGTTCAATACGTCGGAATGTAATTGTTGGGCCAGAACCAGAGAACGGAAGCAAAGGGAATTAAGAGGAGGGGATGCTTCCAGTGAGGAAGAAGAGAACTCAGAATTGAGTTTCTCTTTACTTACAGATCCAAGCTGCTACCTAGAGCTTTTACCTCATGGCTGCTTTAAATGTCTCCATAGGTCTCGGAAAATGTGTTTACATGAACCGGCTTCGATGTACAAATCATTCAGTTGGGAAAATACAGTTTTGATTAGTAAAGTGAGTTATTTAACGCGAACAGTCATTTCAGGTTTACTAGCTCCTTCTTTTCTTATAGGCTATTTGCGTGATTATCAGAAGAATTTATCTGCTCGTAAGAACACAAGCTCTCCAAATTGTCACGTCACAAATGCCGAGATGTCAATGGTGGCTGGGTCAGGCATCTGCCAAACAGCCATACAGTAAAGCTGAAAGACAAGTCCTCAGCAAGCGGCCTAACAACAACTTCAAAGAAGCTGAGCCTACTGAATTCTTTGCTGGTTTTGAAAATGCATTAAATATGATGAGATGGACGAAGCGACTAAAGAACAACTAAGATACACAGTCGTTTCAGTCCTGACATGCAGCAAAAAACACAACCCTTGTAGACTATGACGGTAGTAGCAGATCAGAGTGAGCAGATAGACCAACTGAGCGAGCCAGACGGCCAATGGGAGGCGGACGTGACGATTCGATTATTGGACTTGGACTGGCCGATATTCGTGTGAGTGATTTGCCGTTTGTTTAACTGAAGCAAAGGATGAAACACATCGGCTCAGAAGGGTCGTTAGGTATGGACTTGAATCTGCAATTTATATCGAGGAGATTGGCTTGTTAAACATGCTGTAATTTTCCTTGAGCTGTCTTTGCAGAATAAACGCTTGTCTGTGAGACATTGAATTCTGCACTATATACTACCGGATCCATAGAAAGCCTGTGCTCCTACAAGGGCTTATCACTGTTATAATGGATACATCTTATTATAATGGAAGAGCAGTCGTCTCTTGGAAGACACAATGGCCTGCTGCTGCATAAATAACTAGCTAATAGTGCACCTAATGAATAAACCGCATTAGACACCTAAAATACTTCAAGAGTAAAACCAACTCACAAAGGAAATGCACGACAGGTTAAAGTCTCCGGAATGAAACGTCTCATACTTTTATGTACTTCTATAGGTACACAAGAAAGGTACACCCATTCGATCAATCGTGTCACGTCCGGGTGCTTAACATATAATTTGACTAAAATGCTATGGAAGCGCCTCAAATAAGTAACCAACGTTTCACGGTAATCTATCAACAATGCTTAGCAATTTTTGGAGGAGCTCTAAAACCTACGAACAAATCATGTAGAAATAAGGGTATCTTTCGATGTCACTGCCGCTTTCGCCTCTGTCAACTTACAAATATCGAACGAAAACATCAGAGAACGCATCAGCAGTAGGGAACAAAAGTTTAGGAATGTGACAACCGGAAGCATATGCAAACTTCTCTGCATATGTCTCACCACGTACATGTACTTCAAATTTAATGGAACCTACTACGAGCAAGTAAAAGGAACTCCAAATGGATCCCCTAAATCCGGGCTCATTGCGGAGGTCATTATGCAGAGTTTGCAAGAGAATAAGCTCCCATTAATTTTATCGAAATTATGGGTTATCTATGTTGACGACATCTTGATGATATTCAAACGCAGCCGATTTCAGATGGCCCAAGATTTATTGAACAATGGAATTGATGTCATTCATTCCAGCAAGATACAAAAGAAAGAACACCAACTCCCTTTTTTAGACGTTTTAGTTTACAGTACAGTGAAAGGAGAGTTACACACCTTGGTTTAGAGAAAGAGCACGCACACTGACCAAATCCAGAATTACAACAGCAATCATACAAAATGTCACAAGAGCAGCTACTTGCGAACTCTATTCCGAAGAATCGAATCGCATTGTAGCATGACGAAAGCACAACGGAAAGAAGAAGAACATCTATTAGCGTTGTTCATGCGCAACGTATACCCAAGCAGCTTCTTCCAAAGGTACAGCAGTCCCAGATCCATCAACACCACAACTACACCGGCACCGACAAGGATTGTCTTACCGTATGTGAAGAACGTCTCAGAAATGACTCACACACACTATATACGTTAGCTAGAGAAAACAAAATCTCAACTAATGTGCCGCAATTTCTAAAAGAAAAAAGAGAATAAAATGCAACAGGTGCAGACAAACTGAGCTATCGGTAACGGATGGGTATCGTTCCAGTAAGCTACCTGCTGGCTACTATGCGGCAGAAAAAAATAATTTACTATGCAAAATTATAAAATGCTAAATAATGAGATCGTGATTGGAGGGGAAGACTAAGAAGGATGGGGTGGGACAAAAGAACTCACAGCATGAACGCCACTGTGATCGGCTTTTAGCCACGTGAACAAGTGTCTTCAGCCAAAAGTGTTCATCGTTTTTCGGAACCCAACCAGGGAGCCGAGGCGCTCCAACTGAGGCCACTTTCGAAGTGTGGGCCTTCATTCCTCTCGACCAACGCATCGCTTGACCACGTCTCCTCTTCTTCCATCCACTCCATCGGCGCGCAAACAACGCACATCGTGGAAGTCGGTGGGCTGACATGCGTAACACGTGGCCGAGCCATCGGAGTCTGTTGCTTGAAATAACGGTGCTGAGCGGTCCATTTCCTTTTTCTTTGCCGTAAACAAGGCGTCGAACACGCTCGTTGCTCACGCGGCGTTCCCACCAGATTTGAGCTGAATTGTGAAGGCACCGGTGGTCGA